GGGCACTCAACCACTGAGCTACATCCCCAGCCTTTTTATTTTTTATTTTGAGACAGGGTCTTTTCACATTCCCCAGGCTAGATTTGATTTGCAATCCTCCTGCCAGTCTCCCAAGTAGCTGTAATTACAGGCATGAGCACCTGACTCAATTGTTTCTTTCATGTTTCTTTTGTGTGGTATCTAAAGAACTATCATCATACCCAGGGTCACTTACATTTTCTCCTGTTATCTTCTAGGAATTTTATAATTTTCTTTTACATTTAGGTCTCTGATTAATTTTAAGTTACTCTTTGTGAAAAGTTTAAGGCCTGTGTCTAGATTTCTTTTTCTCTTCAATTTTTTTTTTGTAATGGATATCCAATTGTTCCAGTATCATTTAAAATATTAACTTTGCTTCACTGTATTTCCTTTCCTCTTGTCAAAGATTTGTTGTCTATATTTGTATGGGTATATTTTGGGGGCTCTCTATTCTGTGCAATTGAACTCTTTCCTATTCTTTCATCAACCACCCTGTCTTGATTATGATGGCTTTATAGTTAAGTCCTGAATTCAAGTAGTGTTAGTCGTCTTCTTGATCAATATTGACTATGTTGAGTCTTTCACCTATCCAAATAAACTTGAAAACCATTTTGTCAATATCTACAAGATAATTTGCTGGGATCTGGATTTGAATTTCATTCAATCTACAGATCAAGTTAGGAAACTGACATCTTGATAATACTGAGCCTTCCTAACCACAAACATGAAATATCTCTCCATTTATTTAGTTCTTGTTTGATTTCTTTTTTAAAAAAATATTTATTTGGGCAGGGGATGTGGTTCAAGCGGTAACATGCTTGCCTGGCATGTGCGGGGCGCTGGGTTTGATCCTCAGCACCACATAAAAATAAAATAAAGATGTTGTGTCCACCGAAAACTGAAAAATAAATATTAAAAAATTCAAAAAAAAATTTATTTTTTTAGTTGTAGTTGGACACAATACCTTTATTTTATTTATTTTTATGTGGTGCTGAGAATCGAACCCAGGGCCCTGCACGTGCTAGGCAAGCACTCTACAACTGAGCCACAACTCCAGCCCTCTCTTTGATTTCTTTTAACACAGTTTTGTAGTTTTTGTCCTGTAGATCTTGTGCATATTTTGTTAGATTTAAATATAAGTATTTCCATTTGGGGGGATGCTAATATAAACCATATTGTGTTTTCAACTTCAAATTCCACTCATTCATTGCTGTTATAAAGTGATAAACTTTTGTATATGAACCTTATATCCTACAACCTTGTTGTAAATGCCTATAGTTCCAATCCTATACAAAAACTCTATCCCTTTACCTTCCCACGCTAATTCATGCTATTAATGTCTTTTAATATTTTGTATTTATTAACATAGTTTTAAGTGATTTTTTATCTTAAATTTTATATCAGAATTAAGCGATTTATGTACCATCATTATATTACTTTTTTAGGGGGAGGGGAGATTGAACTCAGGGTCACTCAACCACTGAGTTACATCACAGCCCAAGTTTTTAAAAATATTTTTTTAACATTGATAGGCCTTTATTTTGTCCATTTATTTTATTTTATTTTTTTAATATTTATTTTTCAGTTTTCGGCGGACACAACATCTTTGTTTATATGTGGTGCTGAGGATCCAACCCAGGCCGCACACATGCCAGGCGAGCGAGCTACCGCCTGAGCCACATCCCCAGCCCTTGTTCATTTATTTTTATGCAGTGCTGAGAATCAAACCCAGTGACTCACACATGCTAGGCAAGTGCTGTACCATTGAGAGCCACAACCCCAGCTCCCCCAATCCAATTTTTGTTTCTTATTTAGAGACAAGAGTTTTGCGGAGTTGCTTAGCGCCTCGCTTTTGCTGAGGCTGGCTTTGAACTTGCAATCTTCCTGCCTTAGCCTCCCAAACTGCTGGGATTACAGGCATGCGCCTCTGCGCCTGGCTTATATTCTTTTATTTTATATTTGTCTATATATTTAGCCACAACCCCAGCCCTGTTTGGTTCTTTTAAAAAAAAAACAAAAAAACTTTTAACAGACTGGCTTCATACAAATAAAAACCTTCAGTAATCAGTGTGGTTAAATTCTGAGGATCTCTGAATACTTTGCGGGGGAATGTGACTTCTCTGGGTTTATGCTTGTAATTTCTTAGATGTTTGCCAGTTTCTTTTTCAAGAGCTCAATAATCTCTTGCTCCCTCTGGTGTCTGCCTACAGTGCTGCAGGCTCTCTGGTGCTATAGCAACCAGTTTCTCTGTTCTCCTTTTTACTCGGTGAACCCCAAGCATCCAAATTTTGTTGACTCCAATAAATTCTTCAAAATGTTTGAATATGGGACACATGTCCTACTCTTCTCCCTCCCTCTCCAGGGAGGAGCTGCAGTTGAGAACCTTCTCCCAGTCATACTGAGTATGAAGACCCATGTACCATAGTGTATGCTCTTTGGTGAGACAGCAAACTTCTCTTGCTTTTAGTGGCTCCCCCAGGCATCCAAACTGTTCCATTTCCATCAGCATTCCAAGTTAGGTGAGGTTAGAACCAGTTCTTCAGGCTGCCCTCTGAAAATTCAGTGAAAGTATGTTACACCCTTCTCTTTCACCCTCGCAGAAGAATCTATGGCCCAAGCTGAACTGTGCTGCTTATAAGAAAGGCAATCTTGGGTAAAGCAAAATGATTCTTACCATTTCAGTGTTTCTTTCTTCGCTTTGTGTTTGTCTGAAGCTCCTTACTTCTGAAAGAACTCAAAAAGGTATTTTAGGTTGTATATTGTTAAGTTGGTGTCTCTATGGGAAAATGGTGACTGGGACTTCCTATTTCACCATCTTGCTGACATTATTGACTCATATCTCTACTGTAATGTGATCTTTCATTCACTCTAAAAACATTTGTAACTAGAGATGTTAAAATGTGTAGAAAAAAGTTACCTTTGATGATGGTAAGACACCAGCTGTAGTAAGATGCACCACAGTCTTTTATGGCAAACCATAAAAAGGAGGAAAGGGTTAAGGGCAAGGTGGGAGGAGTGAGGGGAAGAAGCTAGTGACATGCCATGATGTAACCCCCTCCACCCAAATTCCTAATCTCTAGAAAAGGATTCTAAACTTACAAAATGCTTGGTTTAACAGAATTTTCTGAAGGAAGAAAGGAAAAGAAAAATGTGAAGGAGAAAATAAAGGAAGTTCACACACACACACACACACACACACACACACACACGTCAAAGCACTGACCAACATAGAAACCACAGCTAATGAACTAGGTCAAAAAAGGGCAAATGAGATTGGCCAGGAAGTCCTGACCCAAGATCAAAGCAGATACTTGGTACATTGGTATTGGGCTGAAGGCAAGAAGTCTCCAAAAGTCACTGCAGTTGTTTCTAAGGTTCCACGTCTAGAAGGTTAACCATACCAAGCTCCCTGGGCTGGGAAGGAACCAGTAGATCTAGATTGGCAGTGGATATGATAAAGAGCCTGGTCTTGGCATCAAACATACCTAAATAAATCCCAGCTCTGCCAACTCAGGTCATTTAACCTTGTAGAATTTTCTTATCTTGAAAATGGAGACACTTCTACTTTATAGCATGAAGATCATAGATAATAGGTGTACAATAACTGGCACTCAGTAGGCATTTAATAGATGGTGACTTTTATTATTAAGGCCATGTGCCAATTTACATGTCTAAGTTTAGGTGACTATGTTTAAAATATTGTGTGTAGATTTTCCAAAAACAAATGAATATGAAATTAAAGTGTTTTGTAATTATAAATCATCCTACAAATGTAAGGGAATAATTTGGGAAGTTTTCTACAGCTTAAAAAAAAAAATCACAGGCTTTGGGTAGAATAAGGTTCAGTTCCTGGCCCTGACAATTACTTGCTTTTTTATCTTGGGAAGTAACTTTCTATCCACCTGTTTCCACATTTGTTAAATGTGCATAATTCTCCAATGGTTGAGAATTTAGTAAGAGGATGACTGTGAAGTTCCTGGCATATCTCTCCCTGAACAAGTGGCAGGGACCCCACATGATAGGTCAGGTCATGGGTGTATCAGTTTCAACAGATTCACATTCTGCCATTAGCTACAAATGAGAGGAACCCTTACTCTGGAAGGCAGGGACCCAAACTGACTAGAGAGACAGAAAAGAGACATCTGGAGGCTGGAGTATAGCTCAGTCGTAGAGCACTTGCCTGGCTAGGTTGGGCTCTGGGTTCAATCTCCAGCACCATGGGGTAAAGCAAGATAGGGGTATTTTGTATTTGTTAGAGGAAAGCTAGGTGAACACTAAACTTTCATGTGAAGCCAAATCTAAACCATCTGAAGCCATGTGAAGCCAGATCTAAGCCAGAAGGCCAGAAAACCAGACATAATTCCCTGTATTCCCAATCTTAGGGATAAATTATTGATATTAATGGCAAACTTACTATGGGTCTTAAGATTTTTCTAATCTTATTCCATCCCTCAACATCTACCCCTGCCACTGACATTTTTCCAGCAACAGAAGAAATCCTCAATCAGTAATCTAAAGTTGAAAAGGGTCTCATGCTTAGTACTGACTTCCCACACAGTGAATAGTCCAGAGCCATATCACAAGGCCACGCCGGCTCCCATCTCCAGGTTTATCAACTACATGGCTCCTCCTTTAGAGGTCAGCAACGTGAATGTAGTGAAAAAAAAAAGAGCATCAGTAGAGAGCCAAGGAGGCCCAAGTTTAAATGGACTCTACTATATACCTTGCTTCTGTTTCCTCATCTTATACCCTTGAGGACTGCTGACAACTAAATGAAATGAAGAATGTTGATGTAACCAGCAGAATCAATAGCATATAGTGAATACTCAATTGATGTTAGTCCTTTCCTTTCTCCCTTCTCCTCAAACACTTAAAAGACTCAGCCTCCTTTTCTTTGCTTTTCAGAAGAGCCACCTATCTTTTTTTTTTTTTTTAAAGTTGTATATGGACTCAATGTCTTTATTTGTTTTTAGGTGGTGCTAGGATCAAACTCAGGGCCTCACACTTGCAAGACAAGTGCTCTATCACTGAGCCACAATTCCAGCTCCCATCTTTCTTTGTTAGAATTCAGTTCCCTTCCAGAATGGCTGCACTGGGACACTCTCCCTCACTCCCCACCTCTTCAAGTCAGTCCATGGGTCTTTTTCGTTGAATCATTAAGTGCTAATCATCACAAGGAAACAGATGGAGAGTGAAGTGGGGATAATAGGTAACAAATATGGGGGAGTGTGACGATTCTAGTGGGCTTCTCTTTCATTCCTAAGACAGAACCTCAAACCTCTTCTCAGGCCAAGAAGGACCCTTCCAAGAAGGGCCACTCCTCCCAGCCTCCAGATCCAGAAGCACAACTTGAGTTGGGGTACAGCAGGTAGGAATCTAGCAGCCCACTGCAGTGTACCCTAAACAGTTCATGGACAATATGAAGGTACTTCAGACAGTGATGCCATCTCACAGGTGCTTCCTCAAAGGCCAGAGAACTGCTAACCCAATGACATGAACATGTCTGGAGCCTACCCTACTTCTCTTTCACATCCAACAAGGTGAAGCCAAGACTGGGTTCTCTGACTTTCTATGGCAAGAAATTGCCTGGGAGGATTTTTATTCAGAGTCCCTTCTCAGGATTTCTTGGAGATCCTGGCTTCGGAGGCAACAGGAAACCAATCTCCAAAGTGGGATGAAGCACTTGAAATCAAGGTGGCAGCAGCAGATCCTAAAGGTCTTCTTCCTCCACTAGAATGGGTCTCTCACTCTCTCTTCCCACTCTTAACTGCGGCTTCCCTTCAGCTGGAATCTTTCCCATTCTGCTCACCCAAGTGTGTTTTCTGATGACGAATAAGATTCGAGCTCCGGGAGAAATGCTTCCCACAAAGAGTGCACCGGTAGGGCTTCTCTCCTCTGTGGGTCCTCTGGTGTGCTCCAAAGTTGGAGATATCACTGAAGGTCCGCCCGCATTCAGCACATTCATATGGCCTCTCACCAGTGTGGGTGCGGTGGTGCACTCCAAAGCTGGAGCTGTTGCTGAAGCTCTTCCCACACTCACAGCAGATGTAAGGCGCTGGCTCCAGGTGGGTCCGATAATGCCCAGCCAGTGTGGCACTCTGGCTGAAGCTCTTACCACAGATATCGCAGCGGTACGGCCGCTTGCCCAGGTGATCTTGCTGGTGCGTGGTGAGGTCTGAACGCCGCCGAAAGCACTCCTGACACTTGGGACATTTGTAGTGCTTCTCTTCCAGGTGGATCCGTTCATGCCGGATGCGGTTGGAGCTTCGGGAAAAGCTCTTACCACATTCGGAACACTTGTAAGGCTTCTCACCAGTGTGGATCCGTAGGTGTGTTCTCAGGTTAGAGGTATTGGTGAAGGTTTTGCCACACTGAACACATATAAAGGGCTTCTCCTCTGCCTCAGGCTTTGGAGGAGCAATAGGATTCTCTGGTCCTTCAGCTGGGGCAATGATTTTCTGCCATGGCTCTTCTGACTGTGTTCCTTGTGGCCTCATCAGTGGGTTCTCCTGCCCAAGATCCTTTTCCCCAGATGGGATGTGAGAACCCTCTGAGCCATCCACTCTCCAAGGCTTACCCGCTTCCCCTTCCTCAGGCAGGTGTGGTTCTGGACTCTGCTCCTTTTCACTGCCCATCTCTGAACCCTGAGAATGAACACAAATGTTCAACACCTTTATTCCTTAGATCAAGCCAGACCTTATAAAATCTTACATATATGCCCCTTCCCTATGGAAACATCTATCAGGATAACCTGATTTAACTGGACTGCTTGGACAGAAAGCTTTTACTTACCAACTTTCAAGTGACAAACTTTGACAGATATATAACGCTACCCATCAGAGCAAAACAAGACACAACCTTTGTCTACCACCCAGATGATTTCTATGCAATTGAACAATGTCACTCTTCTTAATACCACTAAAAGATGACTGTCTAGACTGTCTAGATTTGTGTGTAAGGAGCTTTTGTTTTAGGATGAGTTTAATTTCTCTGCCTAACTAAAACTCTCTTTACATTTAATTTATTTTGAAAATGTTTCTTAACCCATTTTGTCCTATGGTCCCAGATGTGGAACACCTATAAAAACTTAAATTGAGCAACAAATATATACCAACTATGGTAATTTTGAAATATGTGAATATTTATTATGTATGCAGAATTTAAAACTTGGGACTTAATGGATTAAAAGTATCCACTTATTTGATTGCCTTTGAAACAAAAATAATAGACCCTCTCATTCCTAAGGCCCTCCTAGTTGTCTACAAGACCCAGGTCTGAATCCTAAATGTTCCACCACCCCATCCCTCTCTAGATCTTACCATAATCTAGTAAATAAAGGGTTAATATCTAGACCTCCAAAACCTATTGCAGGGCCTTAACTATATCTCTTCTGACTGGTCAGTACACACTTCCACCAGTGCCTGGGGCTGCTCTGGAAATACACGCCCTTAAGTCCTGAGCAAGAGATACTGAACAATTACTGCACCCTGCAATAACTTATTGGGCTTTAACTCGGATAATGAGGAATGAGGTGTGGCTCCAGGATTAGGCGTTATCTGGTAGGGTTGAGTTATAGTTCCTTTGTAATCCTACCCCTTGCCCTTTTTCTGACAGCGTCCCCCAATAAAAGCCAACTAGAGAACGAGCACTCTCTCTGTCTCAGCCTCTTGTAACTTTCTTTTGCCCCCATTGTGGGAGCCTGAGGCTGGGAGCAGGGGAAGCCCTCCTGAAGCTTATAAAAAGGTATTCCATGTCTATGAGGTATTTTGTATCACCCCAAATTCACACGAGTGACTTTGGTTCAGTTGCCTGCGCTGGACGGTTGGAGCACATCAGTCTCAAACATCACATAAAAGCATACACACACAAAGTCACACATACTCAAAACACATACAAAGTCACATTCTCACATGATACAGTCACATATACCACAAACACTCAGTCACACTTATACCACACATACATACCACATACACAGCCATGCACACACTACACAGTCATACAAACACATGAACATCCATACACCTTCACATTACAGTCACATATACACAGCTACATACATACAGATCACATACCATACACATCCCTCCCATACATATAGCCACATTCAATATACATGGACACATACTCATGTACCATATACACAAACAGCCATACTCTTATATCACACACAGTCATATGCACACACACAAAGACACATACCACATACATAAAGATATAAACACTGATACACAAGCCACACTCCTCTCCACAACACAGCTAAACATACAATGCCCAGCACACGGCCTGCTTATGCAACCATCAGTAAAATGCTTGCTAAGTGGCACAGAATCCTTTGGTTCCTTTAGCCAAGGACAGGAAACGAAGGGAAGAAAAAAGTACTTCTGATAAGACAAGAGTGGTTGCATGTCCTCTGGTCCTTGAAGAAATGATGACACTTCAAAAGGCTGAGTGGGCTGATGGAGATGCTGTCCAGAGCGACAGGAACAAAGGAATGAGGGAGGGAAGCATAGACTATAATGAACACTGACAACAACGAAGACTGATGATTCCTGCAAGTCAGCAAACATTTTTTTAAAAAAGCCACAGTAAAAGGGGCACTGACTACATTAGCGTAAGTTATAATGGTGACACAGACAGATGATCTTTATAACTTTGCAAATTATTCAGTCACTCTTTGAGACTCAACTCCCTCATCTCTAAAACTGATAACTACCTACAATATAGGTAGTTATGCTGTGGGACTCTGTATTAGAGAAAATGCCTATACTACACTCAGCAGGGTCTGCGAGACATAGTGTTCATTCAGCAAGACAGCTGCTAGTATAATTATCAAAGACATTATATCCTAGCTTTGTGAAGAGCACAAAAAGATCAAAAAGATACTTTCAATGATATTATTAGGAAAGAAACGTGTTTTAATTAAAAAAATAGTACAAGATTACATAATCTCAATGTGAAAGATAGAATATCAACTCTCTAAGAAGCAGAGATCAGCAAACTTTCTGTGAAAGGTCAGATAACAAACACTTAATAAATATTTAGGGCCATAGGATCACAGTTGTAACTACTCAACTCTGCCACTATAGCATGAAAGCAGCACACACAAGATGTAAATGAGTGAGGCTGTGTTTCAATAAAACTCTGTTTAAAACAACAGGTAACAAACTGCCATTTAACAATCCCTGTTAGTATTCCTTGAAGAATTTAGATAAGCAATATGAAGATTAATAAGCCTGCTTTAAACACCAGTACTTATTCCTTGATACTTACTCTTCTCTGATTATCCTGTAAAAATCACAACCTCCTCCCACACTCCCAGTATTTATTATCTGCCTCCCATGATCAACACAAGTTCTATGAGGGCTGGGATCTTTGTTTATTCACTAATGTAACCTATACTTGTAGAATAGATGCAACATAGATGCTTAATAAACATTTGTTGAATGAACTGAATAAAGGAAGGCCAAACTTGTCTCCAGAACCCATTTTATGCCTATTCACATCTATTCTTATCCAATGTTTCTTGGCAATTTCCCGATTCCTCCCCACTTTCTCCTTTATGTGCCCACAGAATCTGGTGCTTGCTGTTATGGTGATCTGTAATTACCTGTTTCCACTAGTGGTTTATAAGCAACTTGAGGAAAGACTCTGGGTCATCACAGTCTCTTTCCTACATAATCTTCTGTAGCATAAAGTGGGGTATGCAAATGTCTTTTGAATGAATGAGTAAATGGATATTATCTTAATCCATTCCCTGCCCCTGCCCACCCCACCTAGGACTCCAGTGTCTGTATGCAATGAGCTATATGGTCTGCATTCACTTCCAAAACTGTTATTCTGAGAACCTATATTTTACCAAGATTGGGCTCTTCCCAGGACTAAATGCTGGGTCAATAAAAGAGCAAAAAGATTCAAAATTACAACTTCCACCCTGAAACAGTTTATTATACAATGTAGTGAAATAGACATGAACTCCAGAAACTGCCATTCAATAAGAAGGTTAAGTTCCAGTGGGCAAGGAACTTATATACCATCTCCTCAGTGCCTAGCACAGCACCTGGCATATTATATAGGAGCCTATAATAGTTTTTTTTTTTTAAGCTCCTACAAAGGGCTAGGCCCTGGCCTAAGCATACATATGAATCACCTCATTTAATTTTTACAGTTATTCATTTTTCATCCTTATTTTACAGATGAATAAACTGAGGCTCATAGAAATTAAGTGATTTGCCCAAGAGCACAAAATAAGTAACTGGCAGAACTGCAGTCTACCACTCCAAAGTCAAGGTTTTTAACCATTATACTAGTACTGGTGGGAGAAAAAAAAGGGAAGGAGGGACAGAAATAAAGAAAAGAAAAACAGTCACAGGAGTTCAAATGAAATGGGCAGATCAGGGACAAGCAGCTTCATGGAAGAAATGGTATTTGAGGTAGAACTTGCAGGATGAGTGGGTAAACAAGACCCAAACTGATAAAAAGAAGGGAGCTCATTACCTACTGAGAAGGAGTAAAGGTAAAATACAGGACCATACACATCATATTTCAGAGATTTGAGGGAGAAAGGGGCCTATTTGGCTAGTTTTCCTAGGGACTCAGCAGAACCCGGAGCAAGAGTGAAAGAGATCGAGGTAGTGGAGAAGAAGCCAGGTCTAAGAAACACCAGTCAAGATGGGGCTGGTGATCACACATGATGAAAGCCAAGCTGATATGTGGCCTGAAGGGTCAAAGTTCCAGGTCTGCAACCAAATCAAAGGAGGTGAGAGGTGTGGGGGATGAGGGGAGAAGAGCTTGGAAAGAAAACAAGGACAAGGTGTTGAGAACAGGGGAGCTAGAAAAAGCGTCACAAGATCTGAGGAGATGTGATGCAGAAGAGGTTCAAAAGCCGTCATCAGGTGTCAGAGACCAGGGCCCAAGAGTTTGGGTCGTGTGCAGGGGGCGGGTGGAGAAGTCAAAGGGTACAGCGTTCTGGAAGGCAAGAGTGGGTCTGAGACAGGAGGGTGGAAGAAACGAAGGGCTGATCCCACAGGTATGGTCAGTGGCAGGGCCCTGGAGTGTTCAAAGGTCAACCGGGAGAAGGGCGGGGTAAGGAGTGGGTGTAGGGACAACCGACCGGCCGCCTGGGCTGGGGGACAGCGACAGGGTCGGGTGGAGGGACCAGAGGGCCCCTTTGCTACCCACTGGGTCCTGGAGCAAAGCAGCAGCCGCCAACTCCTCGGTGAGGGGAAGGGACCGTCCTCAGAGTGCCCAGCGAAGTCGTGTCCGCCGCCCCCGCGACCTCGGCCCAGCCGCAACCCACCTCACTCCCGCCGCTCAGTCAGGTACAGCGCCGCCTCGCTGGGCGGGGGAAGGAGCCGGAGACGGAACCCATGAAGGACCCGCCCTGCAGCTCCAGGATTGGGTTCTGGGAGTCACTCTTCCTTCCCATTGGCTGTATTGGCTGCCACAACGCACGAGGCCCAGGCGGAACCGCCAATAAGCGTTGGCCTCGGACGTAGCATGCTGGGAGCTGTAGTCCCGAAGAAAACCGTAGCCTCGAGGAAAACATTTGCTAAGTTGAGAACCGAACTGTGGAAACTGGTTTTGTTTCTAAGGTCTTAAGGTTTCCTTCCTTTGAATTGGTGGCCCTTGAGGGTCATCCAGCGAAGCCTTGAGTCTGGAACCTCACTCAAGATTTATAATTAAAATTTAAAGGAGTGTGGATCTGGAAGGGAGTTTAAAGATAATGTAACACAGTCCCCTTATTGAGGAGCTAAATGTTCCCGGTCCAAAAAAACGACCTCCAAGTCTCCCGCGGCGCTGCGCAGGGATTTTTTTCTGGGTCCCATATGCATCCCCAGTTAAATCTGACAGTCGATGCAAGATCACTAAAGTTTCCAGCTTTAGGATTTCGGGTTTTTTGGGTTTCATTTTATAAAGATGATAAAAACTAAGTGAATATGCAGGCTAACTACAGGCTTTTCAATATCTGCATGATATTTTCAGGGCAAAGGTGCGGGGGGTGGGGTGGGGGGAGCTCTGCCTTCAGAGATAGAGAACAGGTTTGTAAACCCAGCACTGCCACCTAGGCATTTGGAGCCCCATTTTCCTCCTCTGTAGAAATTCCTGGCCGATTGTGAGGATTAAATGAGTTCATAGTTAGATTAATTGACTGATGAGATAGATAGAGCTTCTGCTTCCACAAATGTCAGTTTTCGTCTTTACCCGACTCCACTCCACCCCATACCGAGGGATTGAACTCAGGAGGCACTCTACCATTGAGCCAAATTTCCTGCGTTTTTTTTTTTTTTTTTTTTTTTTTTGAGACAAGGGTCTTGCCAAATTGCCCAAACTGACCTCTAATTTGCGATCCTCCTGCCTCAGCCTGGGTAGCTGGGATTACAAGGGTGTGCCACCGTGTAGGGTAGTATCAATTTTCTTTTCTGCTGGTAAATTCTCTTCATGTGCTAGTGGTGATTGTGCACACATGTAATCCCAACGACTGGGAAGGCTGAGAGAGGAGGATCGCATTGCAGGCCAACGGTGGCAATTTAGTGAAATCCTGTCCCAAAATTTTTTAAATGCAAAGGGCTTGAAATGTTGCACAGTGGTAGAGTACCACTGTCACTTGGTTCAATCATTCATATATATCTCACAATGGGTGTTGCCAGTGTAAACAATGTGAGTTCGTTTTAAGATTGGAATATTCAGGAAAGTGTTTTTAGAACTGAATATGCATGAGAGAAATCAAACACCTGTTGTACACAATTAATTTATAAATTGATAAAAACAAAACATTAGAAGGCAGACTCAAGAATAGAACTATCTTTTTTTATGAACTGTGGTTAAAACTTGCTTCAGTGGACTCAAAAGTGTTTTAAAATCCCAATCCCATAATATGTTTTTCTCTTAGCAGCCCAAAGCCTTTCCCCTTATAAACTTCTTGTTTATAAGGAAAACAGCATAACAAACAATGGATACCAAAAGTTTTATTCAATAACTGTACAAAATCAAAAAAATTCTACTCAGTCACTGTGATGGTTAATTTTATGTATCAGCTTGCCTGGGTCACAAAGTACCCAAATATTTGATCAATCATTATTCTGGGTATTTCTGTGAGGATGTTTTTGGATAATATCAACATTTAAATCAGCAAACTGAGTAAAGCAGATTGCTCTCCCTAAAGTAGGTGGGACTCACCCAATCATTTAAATAAATGAAAAGAACAGAAAGTCTGATCCTCCCCCAACCAAGACAGAAATCACCCTACCTGACAGTCTTTGTATGGTATATTAGTTTTTCCCCACCTTCAACTTAAACTGAAAACATTGGTTCTTTCTTGGTCTTGAGGCTGCCAGCTCTATAATCATATGAGCCAAGTCTTATCAATCCTCTTCCCCCACTCGATATATATGTACACACACACACATTCTATTGATTCTGTTTTCTGGGAGAACACTGTTATAAGTGCTAATAGAAAGACCATTAAACAGACAAAAAGATCTAGTTTCTTCTGGGTCACACTGTATATCCATCTGCAAAATGATAGCCAGTGTCTCAACAAATAAGCCATATCACTCCCCAAAATCCAATTCATTATTTTATCCTTCCACCTTCTTATCTTTCGAATAAGAATCCACCAACAACTTCTTTGAAATCAATACTCTCTGACCTAAGAGGCTGTTTGCTGCACAAATAGTCAAGTCTTCCATTATAATGGTCTTGTGGGGGGAAAAAAAAAAAAAAACTGTTACTTTTTTCTCATGGGGCCTCTCTGAATCTCAGGAAAGTATTCAAAATGGCCAACGCAACAGACTGGCTCTTCTGACTCATCTGCCACAACAGACCTATTCCTCTGTCTCTGTCTGTTCAAGGCCACACACAGCTGAGTTGCTCTGTTATAGCTGTGCTTCCTAACTGTGCTTCTGAGGATCCTCAGAATTATGGCTGCTGTATTTAAAATTCCTGTACCTGATTATCCTCAATATGTAAATTGGCTTTTGAAAAATGTACATTTGCTCTGAATGTCTCCAAACTATGTTATAAACATTATCAAGAAAATAAAAAAAGATGGCATATGTGACCCCTCTGCCCTACCCCAGCTCCTGAAGAAAGAAGGAAGGGTGTATGATTTTATTATTTTTAAAAACCTGACTTTGCGGGCTAGAGGTCTAAACTGAGAGTGAGAAAGAGAAGGATGGGGCCAGAGGTGTGTTGTGGGGGGTGGGGTAAGGGGCAAACAATCCTTGATAGAATAAGTAAGAAGTCAGGGTCTGAGGATCTAATTGCATCACTGAAAGTCCAAATGCAGGATGAATCAGAAGCAAGTACTCAAAAATATCCCCTTGAGTAGAAGACCCTTTCCCTAAATCTTGAGGACACATGTTCAACATCACCTAAACTGAGCATTTGCTTTTCAGGGTTATGGGAACCCTAAAAGAAAGGCAGGGTTCAGAATTGAGCCCTAAAAAAGAAGTGGTACAAATTGAAATCACACAAGGATCTGGATTTCAGTTAAAGGGAAGAGATGTCGCAGGATGAGGTGTGGACCAAGAGACTGATATCCAGAGTCCCCGGGCTGGATGTCATGGGAGCGGGACACAAGGCACAGTTCTAAAAAGAAGGAGCCTTGAGCCCCTGAAGGGCCGGGCCCAGGTCAGAGGGCCAGGACATCCCTGGGGGAAGCTCTGGGGCCTGAGGAGGTAGTAAGGAAGGGTTCACCTTCAGGGACACATCTCCATTAGCATGGCCCTTTCCTTCTGGCTTGGGGACAAGTGAGTCCTCTGATTTCTGGAGTTCTGAACAGATGATTAGAGGCGCTATGTTCTTCCCTCCATCATGAAGACAAGGTTCAAAGAAAGGGCGAAGGGGGCCAGAGAAACTATGAGTGAAAGTAAAGATGTGGGATTTGTCAGTCACGTTGTAGAAGGAGATGATTCCCGCTTCATAGTCCAGGAAAATCCCCACACACCTCGGCGGCTCTTTCAGGCGGAAGGAGGTCTGCGGGGAGGTGAGAGCTTGGTACTCATTACCACGACTCTGTCGCAAAAGCCAGTGTCCATTGGCGGGCGAGGCAGTGACCTTCCCCTTCCTGCTCACCGACTCGCTACACACCCCAAGGATCCATTTGGTCTTGTCTCCCACATACACTTCCCAATAGTGACAGCCAGCCGTGAAGTACTCAAAGCCCAGAACACTGACGACGAAATCAAATCTCTGGGGGTTGTCAGGCACAGGCTGCTTTCTGTCACCAAGCTTCACACATCTCCGATCCTCAGATAGGATGAGTTTGGGATGTGCTGTGTCTGGGTCCAGGGTCACTGCCACTGCAGAAAGTCACAGAGAAATGAGGATTGGGAAGACTAGGTCTTAAGGGATTTGGGGGGGTGTCTTTGGAAAGAGCCATAATCTCTAGGTCTGCAATCACCATCATTGACCCATTTCTTTTCAAGCCTCCTTGTCCCTGCCACATAAAAACCAGAACCATAGAATACTATCTTTCAAGAAGTTGGTCACCTGGCAGGGTACAAAGAGGGGAAAGTGCTTCACCTGTCTGTGAGGCTTCTTTAATCCTTAGGAAATAACATCTTTGTCTTTGATGTTCCAAAGAAATCTAATGAATGATTTAAACATAGACTTTGATGTTAGACTCTACAGCCACATGTCTCAGTCCCAGCTCTGCCATATGCTAGTCACATGACCTTGGGTTTCTTGATCTTCTCTAAGCTTAGCTTCATTATCTGTAAAATGGAACTACTAACAGAGCCTACATCATAGAGCTGTCACATAGATTGCTGAACTAATGCATGAGATTATGCCACATTCCTACAGAGAGTGGAATTGTTGCCTAAAATTATTAGTAGTATAGAGAAAAATAATTCTTGCTTGAATTGTTGGTTATGAAGCTCGCAGTGAGTCTCACTTTTGCCCCAAATAGAGGAAACACATTCTTCTTGGGGAGTTAAATACACAAAATCTATATTCTGTTGAGATGGTGGGAGTAATTAGACTGTGAATGTGAGACAGGAGGCTTTGTGAGTTCCAGAATTCCGACCAACGTGACCCAGTATTCTTTCAAGTGATCATTTCAGAGAGTATAAACGGGAGGGAATTAAAGATCCTGGAAATGAGCTCAAAGCAGTGAAAAGAACCAATCTACTCAAACAGCAGTAGAATTGCAAATTATAAGGAATAAATTGAAAGAGAAACTTAAAGCCATTAGCACACCTATAATCCCAGCTACACTGGAGGTTGGGGCAGGAGGATCACAAGTTCAAGGTCAGCCTAGCAACTTAGTAAGATTCTGTCTCAAAATTTAAAAACAAAAATTTAAAGGATTGGGGATATAACTCAGTGGTAGACTGAACCCCTGAGTTCAATCTCCAGTGCTGTGAGAGGAACAGGAAACATTAAAAGATGTAAATCTTTTAGAATAAAATTATGAACTTTTTCATAGTCCATATTATTGGGGTATCTTGCCAACCCATACGCTTCTTCTTTGAGAATCTTGTCACTATCACCCAAGAAAATTGGTCCACAGAAAAAGAATGTGAATGTGACAGGTGTATATAAAGAGGAAAAATAGTAACTATTTATCTGATTGTAGTATAGGAAGGACTTTCCAAATCTGAAAGCACTGAAGAGACCACACAGGAAAATATCAATAAAATTGACTTCATAAAAATAAATGCTTGTGTATCCAAAATGTTATAAGGAAATTAAAATGCAAATGAAAAATAATTAAAGGGAACGGGAGCAAACAACTCACAAAGAAGAAATACAAATAACTGATAAACTTAAGGAAAAATCTCAAAAATCATAAAAAATGTGCAAAAAAATCAAACCTAATATTTATCAGTGTTCTAAAAGAGGGTAAACTTTCTAAATCTAAATGTGACTCCTAAAAATCAAAGTTTAAAAAATTTTTGATAATCAAATAAATGGATTTGATTAAAAAAATTTTAAATTGCAGTCTGTATTAGAAAGGAATGGAGCCAAATCTAAGGCTACAGAAGAAAATGATCCTCCTGCCCCAACCTCCAGAGCCTTCAGGAGGATGGGTTCTGAATGTGAATCAATCTGATTAGTATAACTTACCAAAATGTAGCCGGGCTCTTCTCCAGCCTGAAAGACATAAAAGAAGTGCCACAGTTGGGTCATGAATATCTCCCAAAGATCTGTGTATTGAAGGCTTGGTCTCAACCTGTGGCCCTGTTAGGAGGTGATGGAAGGTTTAGGAGATGGGGCACAGTGGAAGGAAGTTAGGTCCTTGGGGATATGCCCTTGAAGAGGATATTGGGATTCTGGCCCATTTTCAGTTTCTCTCTTTGCTACCATGAAGTGAGCAATATCTTCTGCCACACACTCTCACCATGATGTACTGCTTCTCCAAAAGCCCAGTCAACGGGCCAACCAATTATTGACTAAAACCTCCAAAACTGTGAGCCAAAACAAACCTTTCCTCCTTACAAGTTGTCCATCTCAAGTATTTTGACGTAGTAACAGAGAGCTAGCACAAGGGAATTGTTAAACCAATAAAGAAATCAAGAACTCTCTTAGGGTGGGGATCAAACATAGGGAAAGTGCATCTCACTCACCTGAGTTGGCTGCAGCTCTTTTCAACTCTATGGAAGAAGAAACAAAGCAGGTGAGCTATCACTGAGAACCTCAGGACAACAGGAGATAAGTTGATATGGAGGTTATAAGAATACGAGAAACTTACTCAGTTCCATCCGGAGTTTCTCTAAAGAGTAAAAATAGTTGAACAAATCAGATCAAGGGCTACTACATATCCACAATGCTACTGTCCCATCCTACCCACAGTCCTAGAGCAGATCCTCAATAGGCATACTCTAGAACTTCCCCATTAAGAATGTCTATAATGGCAATATCTTCCAGCTATGGGCCTTGGGTCCCCAAAGATACAGCAGAAGGTTAACAAATTTTTATGTGAGCCAAACCTTACCAGCAGACAAATAACTAATGCCTCTCATATCCACAGGTAATGACAAAATAAATGTGTATAGATTATGGTGGGAAAAGAATAAAACATTAAGTTCATTTAAAACTATCACTGAGGGCTGGGGTTGTGGCTCAGCAGTAGAGCGCTCACCTAGCACCTGTGAGGCCCTGGGTTGGATCCTCAACACCACATAAAAAAATAAATAAGCGGCTGGGATTGTGGCTCAGCGGTAGAGCGCTTGCCTAGCACGGGCGGGACCCGGGTTTGATCCTCAGCACCACATAAAAAAAATAAAGGCGTTGTGTTGTGTCCATCTACACCAAAAATAAATAAATAAATAAATAAAGGTATTGTGTCAGTATACTAACTACAACTAAAAAAAAATAAATATTTTTAAAAAAACTATCACTGAATCTCTGTTAGATTTTGTCATGTATATTTTTTCCTTGTAAAACAAAATTGACATGTCACATGTCTTCAGATATTTTTTAAATAACAAAAAGATATTCTTATAGATGAAATGGTGGAGGCACCCTGCTCCAGCATATTCAGTCAATGGGGATCCGTCTGCCTTGGACGCCACATAAGGAAAGGCCATGACAGGGTGATAAAAGATACTTCCACATGGTTTCACCCATGGGAGCCATTTCTCCTCTTGGTAAAACATTTCCCATTTAGACACTAGATAACAGTTATGCAAGAAAGAGAAGCTGGGAATACTTGAGAAAAGAAGACTCCGAGAGCCAAGGAATTCCCAATCTCATGGCTTGAATTATCTTGCCCCCTCCCTTCTATCCCAGGAAGTGAAACTGAAATGCTCATCCAAAAGCAGGGATGTCAGCATAAGGAAGTTGTGCTATGGAGGAGTAGAACTTACTCAGGCCTTTATGGAGTCTTCCTAAAAAACAAGAGAGAGAGAGAGAGAGAGAGAGAGAGAGAGGAAGGAGTGAGTGATTGGTTCTTGCCCCTTTATCCCTAGGGCCCTAGAAGGCTCACCATCTCTCCCACCATGATGTACTGCCTCCACCCCCAAAAATGGAAAGGGATAATTTTCCATTAGTCCCTAAACTAATACCAATACCATGTCCCATAAATCAGACTCAGGAATCCAGTGGTGCTGGTACCACCTTCTCTGCTCCATCCTAACCCAGATTTTGGTTCCTCTTTTCTCTTCTCTTTTGAATGTCTGGTTTCATTTCTGCTGTCTGAGTGTTTCCATGTTTGTAATTGTGGTAATATAGCCTGCTACCCTTTTAGAGTCTGTTGTTGATGATATCATAAATGTATGATATCATATTTGTCACAAATTATTTTTCATTTGCATTGTGTTTTAGCTAGTGTAAAACTAGTTAAAAGCCTGGCATCAACTTGTTGATGTGGCTTTATGATTCTCTACAGCAACTCCCTGAAGTTAAAATTTTCACAAATTTGGAGGCTGCAGGAGTTTGGGATCATGCTTCACATGCTATGGGAGAGTCTTTGTGGTTTCTCTGGCAGGGTCATCTGGTCCACTTGTTCCCCTACCTTTCATTGGCCCTCCCAGAGAATTAGCATCAAACACCTGAGTCCACCACCAGGCCTTGGGCTAAGGGCTGAGCATGGTTAGGCATTTGGTTTTAGAGCAAGGAGGCTAAGTATGTCACAGCTCTTTAGGAGCTTATTGATTCTTTTTTCTCCACATTTTTATTGGTGTATTATAGTTGTACATAATGATGGGATTTTTTGGTTACATATTAGTACATGCACACGGTGGAACACTAAGGGGCTTATGGGTTCTTGTTGCAACTTCCACTACTAACAGCTTCCGTCGACTGTGTCATTTTCTCATACTGAGGCATGTTATGAATCCTCTCAAGAATATGAGTGGCATAGAAGTAGTATTCCTGTTTTACAGAGGCATGGTCTGAAGCTCAGAGGGACATGAAATTGGTTCAAGGTCATCCAGTCAGTAAGTGGCCAAAGAGGCAGGATTCAAACCCAAGTCTGTCTGATTCCTTCGTCAGAGGCCCTCAACAATTGGCCTAGGCAGAATGGCCAGAGTGTCTGCTGTGTGCACCCACATTCTTATCAACTTGGAGGAGATATAAGTGGGGGAAGAGAAGAGCTACCAACATCATTGAATTTGGAGCCATCTGGGCCAGTGACTTGTCTTCCCAGAGAAGCTTCAATAGAGAGTCTAACTTTTACCCTCAGTGGTTCACAGCACACATTCAATTAATGAAAATGAAACGGCAAAAAGGGAAAGGAGTTCCAGGCACTATGATAGATTGTTGTTGTTGTTGTTGTTGTTGTTTTGTTTTTTGGGGGTTTTTTTGTACCAGGAAGTATTTCTTCTGAGCCACATCCCCAGTCCTTTATATATTTTGTTTTGAGACAGGGTCTCACTAAGTTGCTTAAGTTCTCACTATGTTGCTGATGCTGGCTTTGAACTTGTGATCCTCCTGCCTTCGACTCCCAAACCACTGGCTTTACAGGTGTGCACCACTGCACCCAGCAAAATTGTCTTTTTTAATACTGAAAACAATCAGATAAGAGAACTTATTATTTCCATTTTACAGATGAGGAAACCAAAACTCAGAGCAGCAAAGTGACTTTTCCAAGACCTGTAAGTAAGTAGCAGACTAGGTGTCACAGAGCTTGTGATGCTTCCCTTGTACCCTCTTTTCATGCCATGATCGTAAGGACTCTTAAGATCCTCATACATCCCATATAAACATATCAATATGTTTTAGATGATATGCAGATTTCTTTTTCAGTGATTGGTGGAAAGGCTGATAAAGACAGCTTATGATGATCCAGACCTATTCATTTTGATCTGATGGCCTCCCCTCACTGCCATCAGATCCATAGCCCCTTGATGCTGGAAACTAAATTCCAATAATATTAATTGACTGTTGGTAATTATGTATAAAGAGAAAGAATATGTTACTTGTTCCTTATATTCCTTATATTTTACTTTAAATATATAATTACCTTTTTCTTTTGCATGGTCTGCAAGAAGATTTTCTAGAGGAAGGAAAGGAAAAGAAAATGAGATTCTTTGCTATTACTTTGACAATTCCTACTGGTTTACCTGCTCTTGAACCTGTGCATTTCCGTCCATCTTCTCCACTCCCTGATCTAGTCCTTCATCATCTCTTATCTGGGCAACAGAAACGGCAATTCAATTGCCCCCTACATCCTATATTACTCTTTCTGATTATCTTCTCAGAGAGAGATTTCCAAAACACAACTCTGATCAGAAGGTCCCCATTCATTGCTTTACCACTGCTCTTAGGAAAGAGACTAGAATCCTTAATATGACCCACAAGGCCTCCCATGATCCAGCCCTATCATCTCTCCCCTTTGCTCTGTGCCTTATCAGCTCTTCACTTAAATACTACTCTCTCTGACCATCCTTCAAGTCAAACATTACAATCTCAGGCCTCAAGCTGCTTGATTCCTCCTGCTCGGCTTTCATAGAACCTTTTTTGTAGCATTTGTACATATTTATTTGTGTAAATATTTAATTCATATAATCTTCCTGGCTAGTTTGAAAGTTCCAGAAGGGCAGAATCTTTGTCTGCTTTTGCTCACCATTGGATTTCCCAAATCTAGTATGATCCAGGGTCTTTAGTAGACCATTATCAATTATGTATTGACTGAATAAAAGCTTCTCCATGTTTAACCTGTGAATAATGAGCTCACAGGCAAAAATCACCAAACATACCAGAAGGCAAGCTATTAAAATAAAAGCTTCTAAAAACCAGAAGCAATGGATTTAGATTCCATCACCACCCCACCAAGGACAGTGGAAGATGGAATTTTCAGGTATACGACTTATATTAGTGGATGCTGGGTATACAAAATTCAGCAAAACAGAAATATTTCCCCCACACAGCCCAGGACACTTACCTACCTCCATCACCTGTTCATAGAGAAGCTTCTCTAGAAGGGAGAGAGAAAAAGGGGTCAGCTGGTCTTTTTTTCTTTCCTTTTTTTTTTTTTTGTGTGTGTGTATGGTGTTGGGAATTGAACCCAGGGCCTTGTGCATACTAGGCAAGTGATCTACCAACTGAGCTGTACCCCAGCCCTCAGCTGGTCTTTAGGGAGGGTTTTTACTAACAAGCTAATTGTCCCAATATGGACCAAGGGTGTGTGCCCATTTGAAAAGATTAGAGGGAGAGGTGTTGGATTATACAACTCTCCAAGTCCATTGCAATCATGAGATCCTGTGAATGTGATCATTTTAATGATAGTTTTATCCAAAGAGTATGATTGGATTTCCTAATTAGAAGGCTCTAATTTATTCATTTATTAAAAGGCTGAGGTGACTGATTATTGTCTAATACCTCAAAGGATAAGAATTCATAGCTCTGCCAAGGGCCTTTCTGCAGTTTATTTTATTCCCTTTGCAATGTGAGTCCCCGGGGCGTGGCTCCATCAGTATTCTCCCAAACAACTTGCAGGGTCTCCAACCTATAGATAAGCATCCTGCCTATATCCACTTCCTCCTGGTCTTTTCCCAACCTGGGCTCCCTTCCACCTACTTACCTCTTGATCTTCTTTGCTTCCAGATGAGACAAATGCCTACTGTGATGAGGAGCCCCAGGACAGGCAGGACCACAGCCAGAGCCACTGCTGAGGAGGAGAGCATTCCTGGGGATGGGGCTGAAACAGAGACCACTAATGAGCACTCCCAGGAAGACATCTGAGAGCTGCTACCTGCCTCAGATGCAAACAGTCAGGTGCATCCCAGCCGCCTTCATCACCTCTAGGGATGACCATCACCTCTTGGTCATCATCTGACCAAGATGGGTGAGGCTCTTTGTTCTCTTGGTAACTCAAACCCTGGAGGACATTAAAGGTAAGTGGGATTTAATGTCTCAGGAAGGGTGTTGATAGCCCTGCCTGAAGTCCATGGGTTCAACTCAGCTTCTCAACCACCATCTCATCCTGCCCCAAACTCAATAGAAAAATAATTCTGCGGGCTGGGGATGTGGCTCAAGTGGTAGCGCGCTCGCCTGGTGTGCGTGAGGCACTGGGTTCGATTCTCGGCACCATATAAAAATAAAAATAAAGATATTGTGTCCACCTAAAACTGAAAAATAAATTTAAAAATAATCCTGGGACCTGCAAGGGCTCTGCTGAGTAATCACCCAGAGCCTTCTCATGAGCCGGTCTGCTCCCACTACCTCTCCCTTCAGACCTCTTTGCTCTGGTCTGGAACAGCAGAAAGCAACCTCTTTGCACCCAGCACAAGAAGGAGCAGCAAAATAAACTCTAGGTGCTATAGCAGCAGGCCTAAAACCTAAGCAGGAGAGGAAGGAGGAAAGGAAGAAGAAAGAGAAAAAAAGAAAAGGAGAGAAGAAAGAGGGCTATAACAAGTGGTGGCAAGCCCAAACTGGGTGTGTCTCCTTGCTCAACCATGGTGTGACCCTAGGCTAGAGATCCAGCCTGGTTCCCCTCATCTGTAAAATGGGGGTGATAAGGGTCCCCATCCCCAAGGGCTTGGAGAGACATAAAGATCAGTCAGGTTAAGCACTTAGCATCCAGAGAGGGACAGTGGCAGTAGAAAGAAAAGAGGGGAGGGGAACAGAAGGATAAAAAAGGGACACAATTAGCAAATGTCCATGACCCCTCTCCACCCCAAGACTCCAGCCACCGTCTATCTTTCATGGCTTTAAAACCACTGTTCTCGGCCATATGACTCCTTATTTCAAGGGTCTTTTAAAAAGGTCTATACCCTTTAACTTATTAATTCTACTTCCAGAAACACATTCTAAGAAAATAATCAGAGTCACCTCTCAAACACATGCAAAAACGTTCATCACATCATTAGTGGTAATGTGAGGAGAAATTGGGAAACATTCAGAACTAGGTTTTGATTGATCTTAGTCTTCTATAGCTGTACAATGGAATACTATGCAGCCCCTAAAATCATAAGAAGAGTTACTTAAGGACATGGACAAAATATACTCATGATGGGAAGTGAAGGGAAATCCCAGTACAAGAATACATACACACAAGCACACACAGAGACACACACAGACACCATTCAGCAGTACATGCAACTATTAGTCTTGTAAGAAATACACCAAGATGTTAGCAGTATTTCTCTACAAGTTGTGACATCATAGGCCATTTTTTGGTTTCTTTAAAATCTTCTATATTTTCAAGTTTTCTACAATATACGAGCTTTATTCTTAGAAATTAAAGCATTTGAAAGGTCTTTATAAGGTTTCCAGTAGGGTAGGAGTTTCCTTCAGACCTATCACGTGGCCTTTACCTTCTATAAGCATGGCTGTGGTCTTCTCTCGGCCAAGGACCATGTTACGGATGGTGCAGGACACGTTCCCCAGAGTGTTGTCCCTGATTCTGCTGGACACTGCTGTTTGGAAGAGTCCGGTTGCGTCCAGGGTGTGATCCTCAGACAGGGATAGAAGCCTCCTGCCTTCCGGGTCCCTCCATTGGGCCCAAGGCTGTGGGAACCATCCCACCGACCTGCACACAAGCTGGATCCAACCAGCATTGTAGCCCTTCATGTGGATGTAAGGATCAGAACCTAGAACTGGAGAGCAGAGACTACCTGGCTGAACCATCCCAGAAATAGATTGACAGGGCCTCAGCAAGGGCATGGTTCTAGCCAGAGCCCTCGTCTACTTCTGATGAACTGTTATTGACACTTTAATGCCTACTTTCTCCTCACTCCTCCATTCTCCTCCCAATGGGATAAGACAGTGTCTAGCTTTACCCAAATATAATTGAAATCCACCCAAAGCTGTAAGTGCCCATGATACCTGGTCTTCTGATACCTTGTTCCCCACTTTCCAGGATTTTAAAAAATTTTTATTGATTGATTGATTGTAATACTAGGGATTGAACCCAAAGACACTCTACCCCTGACCTACAACCCCAGCCCTTTTAATTTTTTTTATTTTGAGATAGGATCTCACTAAGTTGACAGTGCTAGCCTCAAACTTGCGATCCTCTTGCCTCGGCCTCTCCAGTTGCTGGGATTACAGGGATGTACCACCACACCCAGTTAGCACCTCAGTCCCTTTTAAAAATTTATTTTGCACCCCAAAGGACCTGTGTTTAGAAAGAGTCTTTGGGGGCTGAGGATATAGCTCAGTAGGTAGAGTGCATGCACAAGGCAACGGGTTCAATCCCCAGCACCACAAAAAAAGAGAAAAAAAAAAAAAAAAGAAAACCAGAAGAGTCTTTGTACCACCTATTGTGTTTTTGGTTTTCAGGGCTGGGGATCAAACCCAGGGCCTCACTCACACCGACTTGGTGAGTACTCTAACTCTGAGCCACTTCCTCAGCCCTTGTATATTTTAAAGGAATTGATTTACTTGCTCTTTTCAGAGTATGACTAAGCTATGACCAAAATCAGTGTGTGACCAGATGGAAATGGTATCACTCAAGCAAATGCAAAGGACTTGGGTTGGGTTGAGTTTTGGGTAGGCTGATTTTTTAAATATTGAAGATAGTTTGAGAAACACTGCCTCTACCTTCCTGGCTCTTTAAGTATTCTGGAAGCCCAGAAGAGGACCCATTCAGTATATCCACGTCACATCCAGGATTCTGGTCCTTGAGGACTTTTCCTTACAATTGTAGTTACGAGTTCCTTAATAATAAGAGCGAAGAACCAGGATCTGCATTGCACAGTGTTTTTCAAAGTCCCTGTCCCTTCCTCATCAGAAACAGAGTCACTGCTTCCACCAAAATCAGTGGGACCAAATGGTAAGGCTGAACCATCCAAGCAGTCAAAACTGTGCTTGCAGATCAAAGAAAATTCTAGATAAGGAGGGACAAAGCAGGTATTGACAAAGCCTATCTAACTGCCACAAATGACCCCAGGCACCTCAAGCCCATCCTAACCTGCAACCTGAAGAGTCACGGTCCCCTCTCGACTCAGGTTTCCGACCTGGATCTGACATTGGTATGGACCTCGATCCTCAAGGGTCACATTGCGGATCTGTAGAGTGACTTTTCCCTCTTGGATGTCTCTCACCAGCGTCGTCCTGCCCTTATATTCCGGAATCAGATCTTCATCCCTGTCCTTTCCATCCCGGAACACGTGAACAGACTGGGAGCGTTGCGATTGGGAGGGCCGCAGCCACCTTATCTGCATGGGCATCGACACCGGCCAGAGAGACAGAGGGCAGAGCAGCTCGGCTGTGCCCCCTAGCGGGGCGAGGTGGAACTTGCTGACATCTCCTGGGAGGCGCCGGGAAGGGGGGTTGGGAAAGATAATAAGGATCTGGGAGGGGAGGATGCAGGAGGAACGACTTCGGAAGGGATGGAAAGAAATGTGGCAGAAAGAACTTGGGAAGGGATAAGAACGGGGATATACTGGGGGAAGGATATAGCCTACGAAAAGCACTGGGAAGGATTGGGAGAAAAAGGGAACCCCCAAAGAAATAAGATCTCAAGCCACGCCTCCTCATTCTGGAGACTCCAAGGTCAGACGTCTTGTCCCTGGCAGGGAAAGAAATTCCTGAACTCCTACCTGACAGGTGCGCAGGCATCTGCAGGATGACCAGAGTGATGAGGCAGCTAGAGAACCAGGAGCCAGGGGAACTTGCCATCTCCTTCCGAACTAAGACAGACAAGAGAAAAACTCTGGTGAGCTTGACAGGAGAGACCGTATCACCTAGGAGGTGGGGCTGAGACCCAGACCCCATGGCCTGTGTTCAAGAACTATACAGACCTGCTTCCAAGTCCAGCTCCACTACTTACTCCCTTGTAACAGGGTGACTGAACTTCTTTGAAATGCTGTTTCTTCATTTTTATAATGGGTACAATAACCATGCCTCCTTGCAGCATTATTGTGAAGGTAGAAGGAGCTAAGTGCTCTGGGAGCCTTAAATCTATAAAAACTGTGAATGAGGATAATGATGGAGATGAGATGAGTGAACACTGAGTATGATTTAGAAGGCAAAAGGAAGAGTCTGGGAGAATGAGAACGTATACCCAAAACTAAGCAAGTAAGTACTAGTCAGACTACTGGCCTCTTGCATTTAGTTTCCAGGCCAGGCTTGAGAAATGCCTGTTTCAAACTAATCTTCACCCACCATATAGCTTGGAGCTCCTCCCTAACGGCCTTTCAAGTTGACATGCAACAAACTAATCTTCAAGCTCTTTCCCGTTCATCATAAAGGTACTAATCCTACAAACTCGGGGTCTGGAGTTGAAAAGACTTGGGTTAAAGTCTTAACTCTACCCATTTACTATCCCCAGGAAAGCTGTATAACATCTGCACCTTTCAGGTTCCTAACCTATAAGAGGAGGCCTTCACAGGAGAGTGAGAGGATTCAAAGGCAGGAAAGCGCAAAGCACAGACCACAGCTGCACACAGGACAATATGGAGATGTTATTATTACTGAACTATCCCTGGAAGGTAGAGATCACTGTGTGCACTGCCCAAGGGACACCCCACAGTGTTCCTACTGTGAAACTCTGCCCCCACCTACTTGCTACTGTCTGAGACTCCTTCAACAGGAAACAGAATTTCTCATGCTACAGTGAGGATAAAGTTTATATATAGTCTTGGAAGACAGAACTCTCAAATTCTCACAGTTTCAGATCCTTTCCAAAGAGGAGGTTTTTGTAGAGGTCAGCAAGCCTGTTCTCACAAGGTCATAGATTGGACACAAATGAGACTTGGAAGGGGTGTCAAAGGGAGAAGCCAAAGGTGAACTTCAAGCTCTGAACGCATTATTGCTTCAAACATCCAATTCTGTTTTTCTCATGGTTTAGAGTTGGTTTTGTTTTTTAATCATGATGCATACAACATACCCTGTAATCCCACATAACAGGAGGCCAAAGTGAGGTTAAGATTACATTACGACAATTCATATTCATTCATTCATATTCTCTCTCTCTCCCTCCCTCCCTCCCTCCTTCCCTCCCTCCCTCCCTCCCCAACCCACCCCACCCCATCTCACCTACTTACCTACAAGTTATCAGTTACTCAGAAACTGAACAAAAAAAATTAAGTACATGAGAAAAACTCTCTACCTAATTATGATTGAAGTTGAAAGTAAGTAGGGTCCAGGATCCCCACAATTTAACAATAATTATCAAATGATTTGTGAATATGAAAAAGTTTAATTCATCAAGAAATCCCCACAATTCTCAAAACCCTCAACTTCTTAGTAATTTTAAAACACACCCTAGTAGATATATCCAGTATGTGACCCAGAACTCCCAGCTAAACAGGGGCTGCCTGAAATCAAATAAGAGGGGACCTGAATTCCTAGGTGCAGACAATTAATGAAGTGCTTAAGAGGTTCTAGTCCTGGCTTTGCCATTTCCTAGCTGGTGACCTTAGACAGCTTAATTTTCATCTCCAAACTTCCTCTCAAACTTCAGGGATTGAACTCAGGGTACTCGACCACTGAGCCACACCCCCACAGAAAATGAAGTTAATAATTGTACCTACCTTGTAGAGAGGGTTATAGTGAGGATCAAAGAAATACATGTGAAGTGATTTGCCCTGGACGCTGGAAATTTAAAAAGCAAGTGAGGTTCTATCAGGTTGTTGCTCTGTGTAAAAAGGCAATTGAGGTGACTTCAGGAGAGGAGTCTCCCTGAAGCACATCACCAAGCTGCCAATGAATGGAAAGCAGCCCTATGAACAGACGAACCTAAGAAAGGATGACGTCAGAAGTAGAGTACTCACTCTCCAGTCACAAGAGCAAAGCAAGGGAAAACCATGATTAAGCATCACTTGTCTTCCTTTGAATACTCAAATATGATAAACAGCAATAATACCCAGCGTCGTCACACACATGGGCAAACTCTCTTTCACAAGGACAATTTAGCAATAATTATAAAATGATTCAAGAATATGCCAAGTTTTAATTCATAAATTTCACTTCCAGAAAATGATCCCAAGGAAATAAATAAGGATTTGCATAGGGGTTTAATGATGAGGATGAGCATCACACAGTTATTCATTAAAAAAAAAAACAACCACAACTAAAAACAACCTACTAAAATGGGAACAGTTAACTATTTATGGTACATTCTTACAATGGAATACTACAAAGCATTTCATAATCACATGGGAGAAAAATCTTTAACAGCCCTGAGGAATTGTCACTACAATAAGTTTTTAAAAACTATATATAGTATGATGATTTGGAAGAAAATAGGCAAGAATGTAGATATTAAACAGTGGCTACTCCTGAGTGTAGGGAGAGGATTAAGGTCATCCTATGGTTTTTGTTGTGTATTTTCCTTTATATTTTCCAAATTTTCTGCCTCAAATATATAGTATTTTGATTGTCAGAAAACAAAGTTATTAAGAGGAGGAGGAGATGCCTGATCAAGAAGGGAAGGAGGATGGTAGAATGTGATGGACATCATTATACAAAGCACATACATGAAGACTTGAATTAGGTGTCAACATACTTTATATACAAACAGAGATACAAAAATTGTGGTATATATGTGTATTAAGAATTGTAATGCAAAAAAACCACAAAGTACATGTATAAAGACATGAATTGGCGTGAACATACTTTATATACAGAGATATGAAAAATTGTGCCCTATATGTGTAATAAGAATTGTAATGCTTTCCACTGCTGTCGTGTATTTTAAAAAGAAAAAAAGAAGAAGGGAAGGAGAAAGAACAGAAGCAGAGCTGGAGGTCCCCATGGAGTCGAGTACACAGATGCTGTAGGTAGCTACAGTAGTAGCTCAGTGGGGACCTCTAGCCCACAGTGTAGAGGGTAAGATTAAGAAGCACTGCCAGTGGGTATTTTTTAATGGATGTAAGAACCATTTGGTCACCATATGGATTTCTAGGATTGATTCTTCTGATCTGATTGGCCAGAATGGCCCTTCCCCCATCATGTTCTCATGTAACATGTATGAACATTATAGTACTCACTATTATATTAGTGTATGACTGAATTAACATGGACATACATGTCCATTTTTTCTTTTTTGGTACCAGGGATTGAACTCAGGGGTACTCGACCACTGAGCCATATCTCCAGTCCTATTTTATATTTTATTTACAGACAGGGTCTCACTGAGTTGTTTAGTGCTTCACCTTTGCTGAGGCTGGTTTTGAACTCGCGATTCTCCTGTCTCAGCCTCCCAAGCCGCTGGGATTACAGGCATCAAATATATTTTTAATTGCAATATGGTTCTATATTAACAATAGCTCCCATTTATTGCATCTTAGATACTCTAAGAATACTGTCTTTAGTACTGACAACAACTGTGAAAGAAGATATTGTTGACCTTTTACAATTAGAACAAGCAAGGCAATTATGCACACGTTGAGGTACTATGCAAGTGAAATTGCCAGAACTTTTCTGGAAGCAGAATGCAAAACATGGGTAAATAGATGCATGAATGAATGAATGTTTGCATGCATAGATCTGTCATGAGTTACAAAATGATCAAATGATTCCTCACTTTACAGAATAATTATCATGGAATTCCTTTATGAAGATATTTCCCCTAATAAATATAAAACATGATTTCACTTCCTAAAGTTTAACATACATGCCACGATTTGGGGCTTTTTCTCTCCTATTTATTGTAAGAAAGTCTAGAAATCCCCCTCTCAATTTTGAATCATTTATAATATTCTTCGAATCTTTCTTTTTTAATTTTTAGTTGCAGATGGGCACAATACCTTTGTTTATTTATTTATTTACTTACACTCTTACTTTTTATGTGGTGCTGAGAATTGGACCCAGTGCCTCATACATGCTAGGCAAGCACTTTACCACTGAGCTATAACCCCAGCTCAGTTATTCAAATCTTTTTTCCATGCATGTATATAACCTTTTAAAAAAATAGGGTATGCTGTATCATCTTGATATCTGATATTTTCACCAAGCACTACAGGATACACATTTTCCAATACCACTAAATATTTTTAATGGCTCCAGTATTCAATCACAAACATTGAGAATTTTTAAAATAATTTCGATTGTAGGATATCTCCATTGTTTTCTAATGCATGGCTGTTCTGAACATTGCTACAAGCGATGTTCATTTGATTGATGGGCTGGAATCAGGAGGCTTAGTCCTAATGGTGGAGTGGCCCCTAACTACCTGTATGACTTTACATGGTTAAGCAAGTCATTTAAACTCTTAGGCCTTGAGTTTCTCATCTTCAAAATAGGACTTTTAATTTGCATTACCAAACTGCCCATCAGAAAGCTCATATCAATTTTCAAAGTATGATAAATTACCTATTTCCTCCCACAACCTCGCCCTCAGTAGATATTATAAATTAAAAATTTCTTCTTGTTGTTGCTTTGGTGAGTAACAAAATGGCATCTCTTTTCTAAAAATGTAATGGTCTTTCATTTTCATTTGAATTTCTTTGATAACTCATTTATTATTTGGGTTTTGTCAATGATCTGCCTATGTATTTTGTTCATTTTTTGTTGGAGGGTTTGTTTCTTAATAGTTTCCAAAATGATTCATATAAGTAAGCAATTTTTTTCCACTACACATGTTGGAAATATTTTTCCCCAGGCAGTCATTTACATTTTAAATTTGAAACTGTTGAATTTTAAAAACTTATAAATCAGAAAAAAAAAAAAAAAAGATTACAACAGACAGTCCCTTGCCAATCCCAAGCAGTTTAAGAAAACCCTGCCAGTCTACAAATGATCGGTCTGAAATCGCACAGCACAGGACCCAGAAGATAGTACAGGCTAAATACACATTGGTTATAATATTAATAATGATGACAGTAATAGCTAGAGTCTTTAGATAAGTCTGTCTGTCCTTGTCCCCTTTTATGTTCTTTAAATGACAGTTAATCACTGTCCAATTTCATCCTTTAAGACATTCTTGAATAAGAAGAAAAGGGATTATTTCTCCACTGAACCTCAGAATCCCAAGAAATCTAAAGGATTAAAAAGAATGAAAAGAGGAAAGAGAACTCACCACTTCTGGGAACAGGGTCTCTTGTCCTTCAGCAACAGAGCTGGAGTTTCCAAGCCGGGAACTCTCCTTGCCCCAAGTAGGGAGGTCAGGCACCAGGCCAGAGGATCAGGAAGGGTCCCAGGAGGAGAGCCTGGGGAGAGTTCATATTTTTTTCTAAAGACCAAAGCCCCAAGCCAGGGGCTCCCTCTGCCCCACTGACTCCCTTCTTGCTGTCCCTATAAACAAACAAGCAACGCCCTGCCTGCCTGTCTGTTTCTGATAAAGGAGCAGAGCAAAGAGGAGACTCCCTAAAAGCGAGGGAACCACTGGGGGCCATTGGGCCTAAGGGACCTTTATCCTGACTCCCTTTTCCTCCACTGCTCACAGCCAATAATGGTTCCCTCTGCTATAATTTGATCCTATCACACCCTTTTCGAAAAGCTTGCCCCCCTTCACCTTTCAAATCAGAGTAAATTAGAAGATTGGTTTCAGAGACACCCACGAATTAGCCACGTTCTTTAATTCACTACCTTTATCTCCAACCACACCTTGATGTGTGTTTTCCAATAAGCAAACGTGCTTACTGTCCCTCAACATGTGATAAACTCTTTCCCTCCTGTCTTAATCCATAATCCTATACCCACAATATCCATAATTTATTCTTAATAATGTATTGTATACTTGTAGTACTTTGAACTTTATAAAGATGCACTCATTACACAGTGAGTACAATGATTTCCTTTTTTCACTCAATATTATTTTCTAAATCTAGCAGGTTCTTGTGGTGGCCCATACCATGGTCCCTCAATTCATCCAGTTTCAGAGTAACTGAGACCTAAAGGCAAGCTGCCAGTGTGCCACCTCACAGGCACAGCACTTCTTTGCTTACCTGTGTCCCAGACTCTACAAAGTTTCTATAGGCTTTTTAGCCTGTGGGCAACCCCAAAGTTCACCCAAGTTAATGAATGCCCTAGGGGCATCAGCCAGTGGTAATGGGAGTCAGTGGGAAATGCCCCAACCTCACACCTTCAGAGGGACACTTCTGAGCCATATTCTAGTTGATTCCTTGGAGAGTTCCCAATGGGACTGAGCAGGGCAGCATATAGTCATAAGTAGCTCAATACTGCCCATTATCTCAGCTTTTCTTCCTTTTTTCTCACTCCCATTTCTAAATAAATTTGCATGGAAGGGTTTGCTTCACACTCTGCTTTAAGACACTGGAATTCACTCAAAGTACAAGGCCCAGCACCAATCTCCAGCATCTCCAAAGGAAAGAAAATGAAAGGAAACTCACCCAGATTGCTTCACGGAGTTCAAGAACATTCATTCACTGCTTTATAGTAGCAAATATATCAAGTTTGTCTGGTCCCTTGTTTAAAGAAATGTGGGTTATTTCTTTTTCTTTTACAAACAGTGATGCTCTGAAATTCTTCTTCCTTCCTTCCTTCCTTCCTTCCTTCCTTCCTTCCTTCCTTCCTTCCTTCCTTTCTTCCTTCCTTTTTCTTCTGTTACTGGGGATTGAGCCCATGGCTTTACACATGCTAGGCAAGTACTCTACCACTAAGCCACATCCCCGGACCTGAAATTCATGATAGAACCATTTCCCAGTTTCTAAGTACAAACTCCTTCAGGACTGCAGTTCTCAGTGTGTGTGGTGTGATCCATGAGCCCTGAAAATCCCTGAGACCCTTTCAGGAGGTCCACAAGGCAGGTCAAAATGATGTTCATATTAACACAATGGTGCTATTTGCCTTTTTCACTGTGTTGACATTTCAGGGACACCACAAAAGCAATGATGGACAAAACTGCTGGCAACTTAATGCACATCAATGAGTGACACCAAACTGCAGTGAAAGCTACCAATTTTATTACATCTCAACACTTGGAGACATACTTTTTCAATATTCTGTGAAATCAAAGGGGAAGGAAACAGTTCAGCTGCTTCTCAGTCTTACAACTTTCTCAAGGACACACATAGTGGTGGTTGACCTGTGGGCTGAAGAAGTCACTCAACTCACGGAGTGTCACTCTTACCTGGGAGGACAGCTCACAAACTATGGTCACTCAGACTTTGGACTTGTCGGGCATTTTCTCCCAAAGGAAAGAGGCATACCTGTTATCTCAAGAAGAACAACTGGCAGTGTTAATTGCCAAGGAGAAAATACAGTCTTTTGAGTGAAAATTAGAATTCTGAAAAACTCTTATCTGTTACCATGAGCCTAATAACTTCCCAGTAATGAAAGACCTTTCTGATGAGATTGGTAATGGTATGGCTGAGTGGGATTTCTTAATATTGTATAATGAAATGTGTCAACCTTTGGAAGATCCGCATATGTCAGTATACCAATAATTTCCAGGTGACCAATGCACATCTTGCAAAATCATGCACAGGAAAAGATCCATTCAAAATGCAAGATCTACTAGTGGGTCTTACTATAATGGAGTACAAGAAGCTCATTGCTACGGTTTCAGAGTCCATGTCTCAATTAACCTTTAGGAAGCTACCACTTGCTGAGTTTTGGCACGGTGTCAAAGAAGAGTATTCAAGATTAGCTAAAAAGGCTGTCAAAATGCTCCTTTTCCAATTATATACACTTCAATCACACAACATGCTGCTGCAGATTGGAAGAAACAGCTGATATGAGAATACAGCTGTCTCCTTAAGTGACTGTCTAGCCACTTAAGAGTTCCAGAAATATAAAACAGTGCCACTTTCCTGAAATTTTTTTTCTCAGAGAATAGTTGTTTTTTTTTTTTACGAAAACATGTTATTTATGTTAACATGTAATATGCATATTATGTTTATTTTAAGTGAAGCAATAGTTATATTTACTATTTATCAGTTTTAACTTCTTTTAACCAACACATCATTGCACCCATGTATGGGGTATAGTGTGATAATTTGATACATGTACAAAATGCACAGTGATCAAGTCAGGGTAATTAGCATTTTCATCTCTTCACACATTTAACATTCATTTGTGTTTGAAAACAAAAGTTGGGAAACTTCAAACTCCTCTCTTCTAGTTATTTTGAAACATATAATAAATTGTTGTAAACTATAGTCACCCTACTGTTACCATAAGACACTAGAACTTATTCCTTCTAACTGTATTTTGGTACCCATCATAAACTTTTCTCATTTCCATCACCCCAAGTTTTAATTTCTAATCTGGCAAATTTTGAAAAGCATAACCCAAATAATTGAAGCTCTTTGAGATCCTCAATAATTTTAAGAGTGTAAAGTTTTCCTGAGAATATGTACCTGGAAGTGGTATTGTGAGGGTGTAGCTGATATTCAATTGCATTCCAAAGTGATTGTACCAACTTATAATTTAACTTTCTTTTTTATATATTTATTTTTTAGTTGAACACAATACCTTTATTTTATTTATTTGTACCTTTATTTTATTTATTTATTTTTATGTGGTGCTGAGGATTGAACCCAGGGCTTTGCACATGCGATGCGGCCATTCTACTGCTGAGCCACAACCCCAGCTCCTAATTTAATTTTCATAATTAGTATTTTTACTACTTCCTCAAGGAATGCATTAATTTTATCAAATAATCTAAATCACATTTAAAATGAATTTCTTCTCTGAAATTTTCTTTTTGGGTTTATAACCTCGGGATAAAAAATAGATAAAATAGATATCACTCATTGTAATCCCCCAAATCTAGTGACAACCTCTATGATATTTTTGGCCTGTATGCTTACACACCTTTTCTTCTCCAAAACGAGGCTACAATATACATAATAATGAATAAACTCTATTTTTACTTAGGTGTACTTATAATAGTTTTAATCTCAATTATTTCTTGATTTTGTCCCTATTTTTTTTAATTTATTTTTCAGGAAAACTTGAACAACTCAGAGGTCAAAATCTAAATATTCAGTCACACTCTGCTTTAAAGAAAAAGATGCTCCTCTGGACTTCTGGCTATATAAACACGGTTCACTGAACACCAATGCATATTTCTCTCTCCTGAAATCCCACCAAAATGACAATCTTTTTTTTTTTTTTTTGATACCAGGATTGTCTAGTCTTTTTTATTTTTTATTTTAAGACAAGGCCAAACTAAATTACCCAGGCCTTCTCTTATTTACTGAGGCTAACTTTGAACTTGCTATCCTCCTGCCTCAGCCTCCTGAGCTGCTGGGATTACAGACGTGTACCACCATACCTAGCTCAAAATGACAATCTTGAAATAAAAAAGGAAATGCTTGCAAAGACAAAGAGATGGGAGAAGAAATAACTGTGAAACAAAGATGTCAATTCACTTTGAATCGAGGGAAGGAAATGGATGACTAGTAATGGATCTAGTAAAAACAGAAATCTAATCTAGGTGCCTATGGGGTTGGGATACCAATAAGAAGAAAGCTAATTCTCAAATGAGAAGCTTTCAGTCTTGGGATGGGTGGACCCAGGGCATGGCTCCATCTCATTGGGTTGCAGTAAAGATTAAATTTGTTGAAGCATGTAGGTCAAATACTAAATGATGAACACTATTATTACCTGAGGAAAGACTCCAACTTGAAAGCTAGAGATGAAAATAAACAAGAGACACTAATCTAGGAAGCAGAAAACACCAGAAACTAGGCACAGTTGCACACAGCATAATCCCAGCAACTCTGGGGAATGAAGCAGAGAATCCCAAGTTCAAGGCCAGCCTGGAAAATAGCAAGACAAGGAAAGAAGTAAGGAAGGAAGGTCCAGAAAAATTACAATTAGTATCTACATAAACATGAAATAAGAAAATATCCTGAATCCATAATGCAAAAGCAAGAGGTCACAAAAAAAATAGGAAACTAGGAAAAACTATTGGAAATTAAGGTTTTTGTACTAGAGGGGCTGATGGTGTAGGTCAGTGGTAGAACACTTGCCTGGCATATGTGAGACCCTGGGTTGGATCCCCTACATGGGGAAAAAAAATGTATGCAGAAATGAAAAAATTCAATAGAAGAGTTGGGGAATACAATTGAAGAAAATTTCTTATGAAGTAGAACAAACAAAAGCAAGAATTAGAACACAAGAGAGTAAAGATTTTAAAAATCAGGGAACTGATCACAGAGAATGTTTCTCAGAATTGAAGACTATTATTTCCTGACTGAAAAAGGCCACCAAGTGCCCAGCACAATGAACAAAACAGATTTACAGTACACATTATTGCAAAAGTTCAGAACACAAGGATAAAGAGGAAAAGAGAATCCCAAATGCTCCAGAAAACAACAAACAACGTTTTCGCAGGAAGTAACAGAAGTCAGAATCAATCAGATTCTGCAAGAGTCCAGCCTATGAGAAGCTAGATGATGCCTCTAACATTCTTTTTCTTTTCTTTTTTTACAAGTAAGGATTCAAAAGGACTTCCCATGAAACCCTTCTGGGGAATTATTGGAGAACATACTCCTCCAAAAAGACAGCATAACCAGAGAATGGAAACATATAAGATCCAGGAGCAGAGGATTTGGCCCAGGAGAGATGAGAAGAGAAATCCCCAGGATGTGGTTAGGGGAAATCCTAGGATAAAAGCTGTGTGGAAAGGCCAAGAAGACAATTTGGAGCAAGAGGAGAATGGGTCTAAGAAGGAGCATCACCAGGATAAAGAAAAAGACACTGGAAGATTGCCTGGTTCCTATGACTAGATGAGAAGATGTTTTAGAGTAGTGATGGAGAGTTTGCAGGAGAATTAGCTGGAGGCATAAGTAATGAAGCAAATAAAAGATAGGCAATTTTTTACTCCAGGGGGGAAAAGGTAGTCAATAAAGAGAATATAATCTGATATAGTATAACCTCGACTGTACACATATTTCACAATTATATTAATAAAAATTCTGACCAGTAATTCCACCAACCAGTTCTGCAGCCTGGACAAGAGTGCACTGAAGGTGGTGGGAGAGGGAATGAGAGAATCCAGAAGGGACCTGGATAGGTGGTACTAAGCCTCAGCGAGTACTCACTCCCAGCACCAACCTTCAACTTGCAGATGAAGAATCCTAAACCAGGATCTCCAGTCCTGTGCCTCTCTGGAATCCGATAATTGCTTCCTGGAAAATTCTTTTTTGCCTATTGCCACTCAAAGTGTAATCTCCTTCCCATTCTCCACCCCTTCACCCCCAGTTTATCCTCTTCTTCACCCTTTCCCAAGCCACCTTATCACGCTGTCTCCACTTTTATCTGCACCACTTTTTCCAGTCTTCCAATTTAGCGTTTCCTCTCCTTTCTTCCCTGTATCTGTTTTAGCTGGCTTTCTAAGCCTTCCAAAGGCTTTGCCTTTTGTCTAGTTATGATCTAGTCCAGAGCTTATATGAACTTTATCAACTGTACAATGTAACACAAATGTTAACTACCAATATTATGTCAGGATTTCTGAAATGGACTCTGGCTTGGTTACTTTTATTAATAACATTCCAATTCATATTTGTATAGAATTTTTTAAATAATATATATGGTACTGTCTTCTGATTGCTAAAGTATAAATGTTCACTGAAAAAAATTTGGAAAAGACAGAAAGCATAAAGAAGATCAAAATAACCCCTACTCTTTTTTTTATTAAGTTGTGAAATATATTTAATATAGATTGTAGCCAAAAATAACCCCTACTCTTTAATGTAAATTGGATTAGCAATTTTGATGTGTTTTCACCTATTCTCTTTTGTATGTGTCTTTTTTTTTTTTTTTTTTTTTTTTTTTT